TGACCTTTCTGCACTGAAATTTGTGTCTTAATTAAAAATTACATCTTCGACGTTTTCCCTCCAAGATTTTTGTCCAATTAAAGCATGAAACAAAATGAACTCTAAGTCTGTTTAAAAAAAGACACTTAAAAATTGTGACTAAAAAAAGTTTCAAATTGCTTCGCATAATCAATTATTTGACCTTTCTGCACTAATGAAATGTTATTTTTCCGGCATTGAAAATATAATAAGCAAGAAAATTATTTTAAAGTCTTAAACTTTTTCTGATTTTAAGCAAATAGGTCAAAGTTATCTTGAATATTTAGAAAAGAACATCAAAAGTGGGGGTATATGATGTACATTTTCAGATATTACTAAAAAAAAGTGTGAATTTTACGTTAAAATTGGCTCAATTTTTTCCCGGATTTTCAGAATATATTTACTATATTTGTCACACTTTGTTGATAGAATTAATAAGAAATAATTTAATAGATATTTCAGAACCAGCATAACATATTTCACTGCAAAAAACAGCTTTGTGTGCAACCAGCATGTAAAAATAGGCATCCAAAATTAACAGTACTGTTATAGTTCAAATGGAAAAAAACTGACCATTTTCGTCTAAAAAACCTTCCGCCACAAAATATAGTCCCTAGCTTAATTCTACTTGAATGGAATTTAATCGCGGTTTTTTCATTGAATATAGTTTAATTTGCATTGTAGAATTCAGTTTTATTATTAGAACCTATAAATGATGCTTAATTTTATGAATAAAGGACCTGCGCGAAATACGCTCAAAATATCAGGATCGAACGTCCTTAACAGTGCTGCGGAGCTTACCATTGAATATCATTGAATACCATTGAATAATATTGAATACTATTGAATATCATTGAATATCATTGAATACGATTGAATATCATTGAATACCATTGAATATCGTTGAATATCATTGAATATCGTTGTATATCATTGAATATCGTTGAATATCGTTGTATATCGTTGAATATCATTGTGTAGTAATTACTCAATATACAAATTGTGTACATCATTGTATTGAAACCTTGTGTACATCATTGTGTTGATAATTCATTTGACAAATAATTAATAAAGCCATGACAGAAACTGCCAATCATTGTTTGTCTATTTTGTTGACATAAATAAGGAAACAATTGTGTATGGTTTTAACCTCGAACGCATGCAAGAGATATCCACTTCATCTTACAAAAATACTTTGGTAAAGTAAAGTACTTTTTCTTCACACAAGTTCAAGATTTATGATGACATTCTATATTTATAACACAACGGCTATATACACAATGTAAGTTATTGACTGATAATAAAATAAATTCAAAACCTGCATCTAGGTGAAATGATAACCTTATCAAAACGATGTATTCTCCCATTCAAAAACACTTGTTATGTCACTTTTCGTTTAATTTACATTAAATACCTGCAATTATTTTCCTTATGAGAAAGAAAAGAGATATAGAAAAAGGACATTTCTTTCAAGAAAAAACTAAATCAGAAATATATATTTCCACAAATAATTTGATAGCACCTTTAATTTTTTTTAATTTAGGTATCGTATCTGCTAACAATTATGTTATATGCTTTTTTTAACAAGTAACATTTTGGATAGCATTTCTTCATTTCAAAGCATCGTAAAAATGCTTGGATTCTCAATTGAAAGATTGTGTACATGTAACTTAAAAATCATATAAAAGAAGGTAGACCATTGGATTAAGGATTACCAGAGTATATTTTAACTATGTTAAAGATCCCTGGATATGAAACAAAATAATTTGAAACTCAAAAACCTGATAAAGGATGATAAGGGGTCTAAAATACATTAAGAACCCTCTCTACAGTGCACACTAAAGAGTTCTGATTCTATGGTATTTTTTTGCAGTTAGAGTGATCTGCCCTTAGATCTAAATTCTTAAAATTAGAAATTCACAGTTTATTACACAATTTGTAATCAATTCAGGTATTCTTAACATTTTAAAAGGCCAAGATAAATTAATTGAACATGTTACAGTGTATTTACATGTATTTTCTCTTTGGAAGTAAATAACAGTGATTTCTATTCACTGATACTGTGTTGTGTTTGATTATTTTTCCTGGGGGTAAATGCCACGCACCATGTGTTGAAAATCATATAATTAAGCTCAATACTAACACCTTTATAGAATATATTTTTCTCAATGTCTAAAAAACATTTTGTAATGGTGTAGAGAGGGTCCTTAATCTGCAGGAAATAGACTAGGGCATTTTCGTTTTAGGCAGTGCTAGTTTTTATTTGTCAATTATATTAAGCAAAAGCGAAAGCAAAAGTTTTCAAACCAATTTCAAATTCTTTTTTCTTTCTTTTCTTTTTACACAGCATCTTTTCATTGTGGAATGTAACAAGGTTCATCTTGTTTCTTTTAAAAGATTATAAAACGACCGTAAATCAAGGGAAAGAACTATTTTACATTTCATGAAATATATATATGTATAACATATCACCATTAGAAATTAGCAATATAAATAAACTAATCTTTTTTTTTCAAATCATTTATTTAATAATGTACAACATAACAGTGAGGCAAAACTTCCGAAGAAGCCCTCCAGTAATACTTCACCAGGGATGCCAGGAGCTCCCTGGATCGATATATATAATATATATAATATATTTCCAATATTTGAACACAGAATTTTTCACATTATACTAATATATAATTATTGACGCTTCATTTTCATACATATATATAAATATCTCAAAGGAAATTTTACAATTTTTATATACAAAAAACAAACTATTTGTTTAACACCAATAGAAGCATGACCCTTGTTGCTGTGGACATTGTTTAAAAAAAAGAAGAAGAAAGTCTATATCAATCTCACTGTAACTAGTATTTAGGGCCAGGTCACCCTAAAATACTGGTCTTTTTATGTTCTTAAAAACAGGATCAATATGCAGAATTTTGTGATAATAAATTTAGAATATTAAAAAAAAACACTTCAGAATGAATGAATTTTACAAAGACATGAACTAATCCTTTTTAATACAATATGGCATTAAACTTCAGAAGTAGCTCCACATTTTAAATAGATAAAAGATTCAATGTCAATTTAAAAATATAAGATAGAAATTTTTATCAAAAACGTCTACAAAATTCTTAAGCAGAATCTCCCAACATTTCATTTCTAATGTTTGCAAAAATTGAATCTGTTTGCGCTGTTTTCAAGACCTGTATTTTTGGTATCAGTGACTTTATTCCTTTTCTTCTTACGTCCTTGTACGTGTAAAAATTGCATTATCAGTTATATTTTCAAAAGAGGCAAAAGGGAGACGTCCCTGTGATGACCTCCTTTGGGGCATGCATTTCAAAATTTCATTAGGCATTGTTTTTCGATCATTCCCTTCAAGGGTATCAGAAATTTTCGTCTTTGTCAAGGTATCCTTTATTTTTAAATTATCAGGATTCTTGTTAAAATTAGCAATAAAAGGAATATAATTCCTGCTATTATCATTATTATAAGCATATTTATAAACATGGAAATGGAAAACTTCCGGGTTTGCCTGAAAAATCCCATGCTTAGATACGCGTTGCATTTTCTAAAATAACCAAAGTACTGAAAGTACTTTAACGAGTTGATGGTATTGTTTGTTTGTATGTATGTTGTTGAACGTCCTTCTCGAAAATTTTTCATACATATGGAAATCCCACCACTTTTCGTTGGTGAGCTGCAAACTTTGTCCTATAACCCACAGCGACATGGGACCTCGGTTTATACGGTCTCATCTGAAGGACCGTTCTTCACGCCCCACAACAGAATTCGAACCTGCGACGTAAAGATAAACTCATTACTTCGCGATATTAGAGCAGGCGCTCTAACCACTCTAACCACTGCACCACGCTGGCGACTTGATGGTATATGTACTTTGTTTAAAAAAGTCCAGGTCTCTGATCCATATTTGGGTTATATGTGCTATGTGCAATGATGAAATATAAATCAATATTTATTTCTGTTTTCTTGAAATATGTTGTTGAAATTGTTAAAAAATAAAGAATAATAATTTATTTGCACCTTTTCAGTCATTTATTTTTAACACGTATTTTTTTTACATATCTATTTGAATGTATGATAATTAATCACAAATTCATTACAGAAAACGTAAGTTTTCACTAAAATATCTGAAACTAAGAGAACCAACCTTTAACAATTATATTACAAGAAAGGAATTATTATTTACAAATAGCGCAAATTGAATTATATCATTAATGGATATGCTCAATGAATATTTTACCTATTTTCTGAAATTAACAAATAATTTTACATTTTCAATGCACATTAATATGTTCCAATTCTCGTGATTAAGCAGCTCTAAAAATTCACACCTTCTACTTTCATTTATATACATATTACTTAATTCAATTGTTTTGATTTGGTCACTATGATTATTGAAATTCAACCACTTATCTTTCATAATTTGCATGCACATATGCTATTTTCTTTAGCCACTAGTGAAATTCAACTCCTTGGTTTTCATCATCTTTGATATGTAAAATAAATATATTTTATTAACTGTTTACAAGATCTATCTGCTCTTGAATTAATTTAATTTCTGAGTCCCTTGATTCACATTTATAAACATGCATTTCACATTTAATTTATCAATGACACCTAATCTTTTTGTTTCTTTGACTGTTTTTTGATTTTGTTGCGTTTTTTTTACTGTCTTCAGTACTATAAATTTACTTTATCACATGGTCGGCATTTCATAGCAAAACACGACTGGAAATGGTGAAGGAAAACGCTTTTCAGTGTAGCTACGACAATGAATGAGATAAGAATCATAGGCATGTTTAGTTTGTATTTAAAGCTTGCTGTGATACAGATCTAAACTGTAGAAACCAGGAATTTTCAACAGTGGTTTTATACATATTTATGTTTTTTTTTTTAATCTCGGTTATTGTCTCTAAATTCAAGATTAATCGGAGAAAATTAAAAGTTGTCCGTTGCAGAAGAAATCTAAGAACCCTTTAACATGTTTAAGCCTTCCTGACTGAAACAAAATCAGTTTTATGATTTTCAATACATCAAGTTCATTAAATTGTGAAAACTACAAAAAAAATCATTATACATCAGTAACACTCACTCACAGATATAAACGCTCAGATAATATCAACCAATACAGTTAAAGTCACTAAGAAGACATGCCAATTCATAAGGGCGTTTCTAGCCATAGTGTTAATTACTTTTTTACAGCAAAACAATTCAGTACAAATCGAAATCATTTATTGTTTGGTCAATGAAAAAGAATTCAATTTAAAAATTATTTTTTCAACTGGTACAGCTCATTTCTTCCGTTTGAGATAAATAATTGATTAACTTTGACCTTCGTTACTGTGTGTTTCTCGCTTTGTTTACAAACATACCGGTAGGTAGTGTTCTCTTTAAACGATTCATTACTATCGCAGGTAAATTGCACTGTTCATTAGTATACTGAGTCAGTGCAAGGATTGGTTTATTATATACCGTCAACACGTCATTCTTGTCAAAATTACTTGGTTTGTACTATGTTCAATTTTGTGAATTTTCTTACAAAATCTGTTTTCATATTACTGCTTATAATAGAAAATGTTCATTGATTTAAAAATCAAAACTGTGTTTGCATGACATACATTGTATAACATTTTTTGACTGCATGCCCCCTACACAATTTTCCTTCGCGGACTGACACAAATTCCAAAAAAATATATATGTTTATGTTTATAAACACTCTAAAGCACATTAGGAAATATATTCTTACATGCATTCTGTAGTTCATGAAAATTGTAAAAAAACCAATATTATACTAGAACCTGTATTCAAAATACTCAAACGAAAATGTGATTAGTTTCGATACATGGGGAATCCCTTATTAGCAACATAACATGAGTTGATACCATCATCTCGTACTAGATAATACTTTTCAGCGCTTTGTTACATAAAAAGGAAAATGTTTGACAAAATATTAAACAGTGTATTAAGATCAGTCTAAATTACCTAAATATGGATGTCTAATTTAAATGCAGTATTGTGCTTATGCTTGAAATAGAAATATTATTAAATTTCATGTGTGATACTCTAAAGAATTAAAATTTAAATAATGAAATGTATCGCAGATCAGTATAGAACTTTGAAGGAATTTACCTCTTATGTTGACACAACCACTCCGATAATCGCAATATTCTGCATTGCATAAACAACCATCTTGACAATGTTTTCCATATCCCGGGTACCGACATCTAAGTAAACAATTTACGCCCATATAACCAGGGGGACATTCTAAAAATACATCGAGAACGCAATTTTATTACACAGGGATCTATTTATTAATACTTAGTGGCACGATTTAAATGTTTTTAGTTTGAATGTACATAGTTGTTTAGTGTAAAAGCATTTATTGAAAAATAATTGAAGTAGTGTTTTTGAAGAAAGGATAAGTTATTTGCATTTAGATAAAGAAAAAAAAATTGGTTTGAAACATTTCAAGTTTTGTAAATGGTATTTAATTTGAAAAAATGAAATGAATTACCTTTGCATACCTTTGATATCTCGTCGAAAAAATACCCAGACCATGTACAGGTCCCTTTCCCAGATCCACTGTTAAAAAGATCATTATTTTTAAACAAAAAAATACATCGAAATTAATACCTTGGTGGTTTTTGTTTACACTTTTTAACCATTGACAGATAACAATCTATTTCAAAGGTACTCACTTTTGACAACCCTCAATCTGTGCTAGAAATGTTACAATTAAAATAATAAACGACTTTATATGAAAATATTCAATCAATGTAAGTCCGGCAAACATTTTTAAATGCATTTTATACGTCCTTGCAGTTGAAATCATGAGTAAAGAAGCTATTCATATATGTCCATATATGAAAAATTTAAACTAAACCTTTTAAGGCGACACATGTGTCTGCGTCAAAAGTGCAAATTTGATATATTTTATCGTATGAATAAAATATCCACTTTAAGCAATGTTGATTTCCCTCTTTAAAGGAATTTAAACTGTATTTTTGTCCTTTTCCTCCTCTTCTTGATCCATCACTGTTGCCTGAACGTCTTTTTATGAAAATAAATGTTTTGCAAAATACTTTTGGTTGTTATTTTCGGATTGAATTTATCATTTTCTTCATAACATAAGCCAAGACTATAATCAAAATTATAATTATTATTTATGTAGATTTAATGACATGTTGTGCAAATAACGAAAAATTATCAAAAAAAAAAAAGAAAGAAAAATTCATGAAGCAGTGTCGAAATCGACGGAGGAAAACGATGTAAGCCTACCGCCTCACTGCCCAAACGCTTCTTTTTCATGAAACATGCTTTTCGCTATTAATGACAATAATAAAAAGTTTAATAATAACAGCCACCAACTATGACCTGAATAACATAGTCTTTATATTGGGTGGTTTTTTTTTCTTAAATTATCGGTAATTCTGTAAGTGTTGAAAATTTGTTCATTAGTATCATCACACATACGTAGATGCTTAACATGATAAAAAAAAATTATGTGTCCTCAAATATTAAATTTTCAAAAAAAAAAAAATGTAGACTACATCATGGAACAAGTAAAACGTCAGACTGGGCAATCTACTTACACCTATAATATTATTGAATGAAAATATATTTTTTTCATTCTTTATTCACCTTATGTGCAAGCAGAAAAATTGTAAATATGAACGAAACGATGTTTAATGTCTTTTACACGTGTTCTCTTTATG